TTCAGAACTTGTAACACATAGAAGCAAAGCTTTATAAAGCCTTCAAAGCTTAACCACAAATTCACGATCAGAACCTTTTGTACTAGCGTTCCTTAGACAAGTTGTAGAAGATAGATTCAGAACCTTGACTTTAACTGTAAGACGTGACCACATGTTTTCTTCCAAAGTGTATGTTCAGAACCTGAGGACGTCACATGCCTTATACTAGAGTCAGAATATTACAGCAGCAGCTATACACTAGAACAAAACCATTAGTGTATACAATTGTTCTCTAAGATAACATTTCAAGTTATCGTCAAAATATCAAGGCCAGATTTAGAAACACTTCTTGTTCTTACAGTAACATGGATTGGCTTAAAAGAATAATTGATTTTCCTTTGGATTCTAAAAATGACTATAAGATAATTGAGCATAAGTTACTTTTTATTTGAAACATCTCTTTAGGTACAACTTTATTTTGGTGAATTTTTATTATATTTTGATATATTGTTTCTTTTTCTTTTGTTTCTGATTCATTCTTTTTTGTCAAAGTATAGAAGTCAAATAGAGATGAAAATGGGTACCCATGAATACAGTTACTAGTCTCTCTCTATCCATTTTGTTTAGAAAATATAATACACGTACCCGCCTTATACCTGTGCAGGTATCTGCCAGACGGGTACATAATAATAATAATAACAAAAATAAATCATATTCATTTTATTTTTTCTTTTATTAAATATTTATACTAGATTCAACAAAATAATAATAGTTTCATATTCAACACAATAATAATAATTCTATATTTAACATAATAATAATAATAATAATAATAATAATAATAATAATAATAATAATAATAATAATAATAATAATAATAATAATAATAATAATTTTAGATTAAACAAATTAATATTTAAGTAATTTTGCTAAATATTAACGGATACAAATACCCCGCAGGTACGTATACCTCCAAATTTGTATTTGTGCTCGTAAGGAAACATGTAACAAAATATCCATCTATTTTATCTGTAGATACCCATTAAGCTATCCAACCCGTGCCTGTAACGAGTTTTACCTACGAGTGCAAGTTTTTTTCCATCCCTAAAGTCAAACCAAGCTGAGGGGAAATGTGTTTTTGTTATGAATGAGAAACTTAAGTTAGTGAAAGAAAAGGTTAGGAGTTATCGCGGTGCAAAAAATATACTCGAGTGCATCACACACTCGGAATACAATAGAGTCGCCACCAAGTTCTATTTATTCCAAAAGGAATGAGAAAAGATCGAGAAAACTCACAAACAAAGGAGAAATAGATAAGATGATCATCACAATCATATTAAGCTTCGGGAGTCGGTTATGCAAAGGGAAGGTATTAGCACCCCTCACATCCGTTGTACTCAGCGGTATCTATTTAGTTAGTTGCGTAATCGAATGTTAGTGTGATGTTTACTTGCATCCTAATTGTTATGCGAGAAAGAAATGAAAGAGAGAAAAATGTTTTTTGGTTTTTATTAATGGGCTCGCCAAGACTTTGCATCTTGTGCCTACGTATTCTAATGACGCAATAAGGAAATCAGAGCTTCGTAGTTCGTAGTAAACTAAAATATTTGTTGGTTGGTTGGTTTTATTTATGAAAAGGAGCATAATTGCAAGTGGACGATAAGAAAAGCTAAAAGATTCTCGCACTTGGGCGATGGGATTTGCGCTTGGGAAATGAGAGGCTTTGCGCTTGGGAAAAAAAGAAATTTGATGGGTTTGAGTTGTTTTGACGTTTATGAAAACATGCCATGAAATGTTGTCTGATTAATTTGAAAAGACTTGGTATTGAACCAATGTTTTAATTGCTTTCGAGTTTTGGTTGTGAAAACGAATTATTTATGAAAATAGTTTGAGTAGAGAATGGAAGAGGTTGATGGTGATGCAAAAGCAATAAACTTACGAGGGTTTGAGAAATGAGATGAATAGGTAGATGGCGATGCAAAAAGTAATCAACTTACAAGGGTTAAAAGATGGCTCGATATTGGATCGAGTAATTTTTTTGTTCTTTTTGAAAAGGGTTCATTTTAGTTGTTTTTTGCTTTTTACTAACAAAAGTAAAATAAATATACATGGTAAATACCCACACCCCAACTGAAACCCTAAATCCCCATCCAATATTTTTGTATCGGTTACATTGAGAGATTATAAGGATAAGCGAAAAGTAAATTACAAATAAGGGAATGGGGGTAGATTTGTGATTATAATGGATAATTACTGGAAAATAAGAAAAATTAAGTAAATAAAGCATAAAAGAAATAATACAAGGGAAGGGGATGAATTATCAATACATAAGTAAAAATAAATAACATGAGAGAAATGATAAAATGAGAATGATTCATTATCAACATAAGATATGAAGTAAAACAAAATAAAGCATAAAAAAGTAATAAAAAGAAGTAGTAATTAATTAAGTATTTAATATATTAAAATAAAATAAAAATATTTTTGGGTTTTTTAATATGTGAGCAATTGAAAATTAATAGAGGCATGAAAACAAATAAAATCGAAATCGAAAATTAAATAGCTAAGACAATTAAGTTTTTTTTAAGACAAAAGAGAATTTCATTAAACAAAAAGGAGAAAGATACAAAAGAGGGGGGATTAAGCCCATACCCCATAGTTACAAAGTCTAATCCTAGAAGTACCTTTCTTATCTAATAAGAAATCTTTACTAATATCTCTATGCACATGGTGAAACCAAGATGTAGAGTTTCTATTTAAACCAATGCTAGCGAGAATATCCATATAAAAATTGGCTTCTCTAAAAATATGCGTGATCATAAAATCAATATTCATCATATACACCCAGCAAACAAGCCAACAAGATCGGATAATCCAAGGCACTAAAGCATGATTAGAAAAAGCATTAACAACAAGTAAACACTCAGTTTCCAACCAGAGCTTATTCAACTTCAATTCTATAGCTTTTTCCATGGCTATAATAGCAGCAAGAAACTCCACTTTTTTAGGAGATTCGCAGCCCAAAAAAGCACTAAAATTGAGAACATGGTTAGCAACACAGTCTCTAAAGATACTGCCACACGCAGATTTCCAAGGAGAGCCCTTGGCTACACCATCAATGTTGCATCTTATCCAGCCATGAAGAGGAGGAGACCATAGAAAATCCATATTGGTGATAGTCTTGCAAGGATTTAAATTAACATAAAATCTTTTCAACATAGAGAAATTAGAAATAGAGGAGTTTGATCTCCTTGTAGTGTAATTTCCAGCCACCTTTGCTTGAGTGACATAAAATACACAAGTTATAAGGAGATTAGGAATGGCCACCTGAATGTTAGCACTGGTAGACCAGTTATTGTTAGACCACTAATCACAAACTTTAGATGTTAAAGCATGATGGAATCTTTCAGGAATTTTGAATTTGGTGGCTAGAGATTCTCCAAGCCAGTTGTCTAGCCAAAACATAACATTCTTACCATTTCCAGTAATCCAGATACAGTTATCTAGGACGATGTCATAGGCTTCTTTGATTCCTCCCCAAATAGAAGACCTAATAGAATACTTAATGATTTTATAATTTCTTTTCACTCTATCTTTGAGGAGATTAGCCCAGCTTTGATTGTTGTTTAGGAATCTCCAACAGAGATGCACATTTGTAGCAGAATTATAAACCTTTAATGAAAGGATTCCTAAGCCTCCTTCATCTAATCTTTTGCAGCATGTTTTCGAGGCCACAATTACTAATTTCTTCTAGTAAATGCTTCCACTCCAAATAAAGTTTCTCATCTAAGTCTCAAGCTTCTTGATGATTCTAGCAGTCCAACGGTATTACATATATAATGAACCAACATGCTAAGAGTCATAACTTTCACCAATTACACTCTTCCAGCCATTGAGAGAAGTTTTTCTTTCGAAGCTGCCAGTCTAAGCCTTATGTTATCTGCAATGTGAAGAAAGTGACATGCCTTAGGCCTACTAATGAAAATAGGAACACCTAAATAAATAAAATGAGTGTTAGCTTTTGTGAAACCAATGATGTCAGCCAGACTACAATGTTTACTGAGAGACATCCCACCAGCATAAATCAAGGATTTAGGGAAATTGCACAATTGACCAGAGTAACTGGAATAGTCCTGAAGCAGTTTAGTAATGGCCTTAAGAGAATTGGAATGTCCTGTACATAATATCATGATATCATCAGAAAAAAGAGTATGAGAAGGCACAAAACAATTCCTGTTAGCTTTGATAAGATTAACCTGATTAGAATTGACAAGATTAGTAATTCCCCTACTAAGCACATCCTCAATAATACAAAACAAAAGGGGAGACAAAGGATCACCTTGTCTCACCCCATCATAACATTTGAAATACCCTATTTGTTTACCATTAAAGCAAACTGACAAGGTGGCAGAATTAAGAATAATATTGATCCAGCTACAAAACTTATCATTGAATCCAAAGCTTTTTAGAGTTTCCAAAAGAAAATACCAACTAAGGGTGTCAAAGGCTTTAGCAATATCAATTTTTAAAGCAACATTGCCACTAAAACTCTTGTTATTAAGGATATCGATGGCTTCAGATGTAAAACAAATACAATCTTTTATATTTCTACCTGAGACAAAGCCTTTTTGCTCAGTAAATATAAGAGTGGGGAGAATAGAGCCAAGTCTATCAGCTAAATTTTTTGAAATGATTTTGTATTTAAAATTAGCCAAAGCAATTGGCCTATATTTCCCTAATCAAATGGCATCCTTGGATTTAGGAATATGGACAAGAGTGTTGGTATTAAAGTTAGGCAACATCCACACTGCAAGAAAAACTGAGTCACATCATTAATAACACCCTTATTTATTATTTCCCAATACTTATGAAAGAAAATACCCCCAAACCCATCTGGTCCAGGGGCAAAGTCAACTTTAAGATTTATGATTGCTCTATAAATTTCCTCAAGACTGGGGGTCATGGTCAACATGTCATTAGTGTTGGTATTCACCAAGGAAGGAATGCCATTCTTGATCAAGTCATTTTCCTGCAAAACATAATTTTGGTTAAACAATTGTTTAAAGTGACTTTCAATGTGAGTTTCAAGAGTAGCTTGATCATTAACCAACACATCATCAATGACCAAGGAAGAAATGAGATTGGTTTTCCTTCTAATCTTGGCATATGTGTGGAAAATTTTGGTATTTTTGTCTCCCTGCACATGCCATTTAAGTCTGGATTTTTATTTCCAAAAGTCCTCTTCCATGTTCAAAGCTATCTCAAGATCATGTTGAGCCTTAGCTTCTTTGTCATGTAAACTATCAGTGTATCCAATAGCACCTATCTTTTCCTGAATATCTTTAAGAACAAATTATATAGCTGAGACCATCACCAAAGCTTTTTTATTCCAATCTTTAAGCCGTGTTTTCATAAGCTTCGGCTTCCTATCCAAGACATACATGGGGAAGCCATATAACTTAACCTTTCAAGCCTCCTTAATAACTTTGTAGCACTCATCATTTTTAGCCCACATGTTAAGAAATTCAAACTGAGAAATGAAAGTGACTTTATTTAAGTTAAGGGTGAACAATATGGGATAATGGTCAGATTTAATCTTAGGGAGAGTGTGACAGTTAACAAAGTTACAAATATCAAGAAGGTCCATGTTGCAAATAACTCTATCTATTTTTTCCAGTCCTATTCCTACCTCTTCTACCATTACACCAAGTAAAAGAGTTACCAAGGGTGGGAATGTGAATGAGCTGGTTAGAATCAGTCCAATTGAAAAATTATTTAATAGGAGTCTTGGCCAGAGTGTGATTTCCTTTATATTCAATAGTACTAATAATAGTATTGAAATCACCAATGAAGGTCCAAGGATTATTAGACATATTACTACTAATCCTAAGCTAAAGATTCCTTCTAGTAATGTAGTTAGTAGAAGCATAAATCACAGAGAAACCAAACAGTTTGTTTTCTAAACTAATAATGAAGGAAATGTGTTGGTCATTAACATAAGTTATATCAAGATCAAAAAAACCCTTACCTAGTGAGGTGACACCCCATTTTCCAATTGCCGGCCATAACTCCAAGAGTTTGTTTTTTAGGTTAACCACTGTTAGAGGAGTAACACCTTTTAACCATATGACCCTCCCATGAAGATGGTGTTTGCAAGCATCCACTCCAAGTTTGTATTCTTCTTCAGGAATGGTAATGGCTAATCTATCACCTTTGAGGCAAGGCGTGGGCAACTGACTTAGAGGAATGTCGCACACATTGTTTAAGACCACCATCGAGAAATATTTGACAGGACCTTGTGTATTTGAATTTCCACTCCTAACATTGGAACTCGGAGAAATAATGTTACAATTAGTTTTAGGGAAAAGTGATGCCACATCCAGGGAGGAAGAAGGAAGGGGAGGAAGAAGGAAGGAATGGAGATGGAGAAGATGCGCCACAAAATAGCCAAAAGGAAAGAAACTAGCCTTTATCAGTTAGCGAAAACATTTCTTCATTTCATATCTCAATCTTTAACAAATTTGACTATATGCTTTTCAGACAATTAAGTAAAAACAAAGGAAAGAAAATAAATAAAATAGGGGGTGCAGGCCCTAAAAGGACTTTAAGCTGTAAATAACATAGGATATTAAGCCCAAAAGAGTGCTAGGCAAAATAAAACCCACACAGCATGCCAAAAAAATGAGTCAAGCAAAAAATAAGTTTGGTCAACGGAGGAGCGTGCTGAACCATTAGGTCTAGATGGATAAGATCAAACGATGAGGAAATACACAATATGGTGGATGCACATGCACTAGATCAGTGCTGCTCCACCCAAAGTGCTTGTCCATTCAAACTACACCACGTGGCACATAAAAATGATTTTTCAATTATGATCAATGATGCATGAATATTTAGTCAACTTTCACAATACAATAAATGTTGACTTTGTTTGAATTTATTTGATGATGGAAATGCGTATAGTTAAAAATGTAAAACTTGACAAATTGACATGTATCAGATGAAAAAATTCGAACAAAATTAGCGTATGACAGCTGCCCCTATTTAATCATCTTTAGCAAGATAGCATGAATGACTTTGGTCTTCGTGATATCAGTGGCAGAAGGTAATTAAATACTAAAATACTCGAATTTTGTCCCTTCATGCAATGAGATAATATGATATGCTATAAATGCATGGATTCATGTTGTGGATATAAAAAAAAGGTACACTTTATGGGGATTAATGAGATAATTGCAAAGGAGTTCCTGTGGAAAAACTTGTTGGGGAAAGACAATGGTGACAACAAAATGTTCTAAACTAAATGAGTTAATTCAGATCAAAAGAAAAAAGTTAACATCAACCAGTGGATTGATGAGAGTAAACAAAAAATCACATTATCAACTAGCGAGTTGACTCTGTTGCACCCCAAAATTTACTCTCTTGATTCAGGCTTATGTTTCATCATAAACATCATATTGCATTGCATTCATACATGGTGTAGGGATCAAGGTATTTTGGTTTATCAAGCCTCCCTCAAGCTTTGGAAGATTGATTGTATTAACAAGGTTCTCAAGGAGAGCCTTATTATCTAAACCTCTGGATCTTTCAATCCCAAAGGTGTCTCATATCTCAAGATATCTCATCCACCTCATTGGATCATCAGAAGATTGAGTATTGTGCTGTCATAAGGAGAATCACTTCCTTTTGATTCATCAGTCAAAAATAGGGTTTGAGTTTTAATTAGGGATTATTTTGAATTTTTGAGTGGAAACTCCTTCCATAGCCTCTATGTGTTTGGAATATCATATGTTTGAAATTTTGATCATCAATTTTGAAGAGAAGTGGTTCAATTGAATTAAAGGGGTAAAACAGTCATTTTACTCAAAGTCAACAAATTCAAAGTTGACCAAGTGGACTTTTGGTCAACATGAAGCATTTGACATGTATTTTCATGTGGGATGATCATTAATGGTTGATTTTAATGAGAATTGCAAGTTTGAGAGGTTACTTGGATTTGAAGTTATCTTGGTGATTGAAAATTTCACTAAGTGCCCTTGATTCTTGGTCTGACTTTGCAAGGGCATAACTTTCTCATTTTTCAGGGGATTTTGGTGGTTCTTATTGCAAATTGAAGAGGGAAAAAGATCTACAAGGGCCCACAAAGGACAAAAACACACTTCTTACTCAAAATCAAAAGTTACGAGCCTTTGAAGTTCTGGGAAAGTTGGTCAAATATTGGGCATCATGAGCAAACCACACGGCTATCCCGAGGCATCTTGCCCAGGAATTTCATCGAGCATGTGGCACACCAAATGTGAAATCCATTTTATTGTAACTCAAGCTAGGTTTGGATTTGATTTTGGGTTTAATTAGAAGTATTACATGTTGGCTTTCCATTGTGAGAAGAATTATTGTAGATGGTTAGGGTTTGATCAAGTTATGAATGCTGAAAGTGGGCATCCTCAGCTGATCTGGCATGGCACGTAAGATGCAATGCACGGCCAAGCCAACTGCAGATCAGCACCAGATTTAACACAAAATGCATTTTTATGATTTGATTTCATCACACACGAGTGTCTCACGTATGCACTCAGCTTCCACGTCACTTCTTACCTCATTTGGCTAAACATTCTCACACACCATGCCTCACCTAACTTCCCTCGTGCCTTGCCATTTTTGGTAACTTTATCTCAAAGATATCACATATTCCATGCGCAGCTGGACACCTCAGCATTCACAATTATTTCCTCTCATTTCCACTCAATATTTGCTCATCAAAACGCAGGTCATTGAGGAGTTGCAAGGCATGAAACACAATTTCCAATTTTTGGATTTTGTATGAAATCAGAGAAAAACCAAAATTCTTAAACTAACCTCAAAATTATTTCGATCCTCACCATCCATTTTTCATCTGGATTTTCTGATTCAAAGGCCAGGATCACTTCAACTGTAACAAACTTTTGCTGCTATATAACAAACTTTCTCTTTGAATCTCATGCGTTCTTTAGTCGTTGGAAGAATCACCAAAAAGAGCTCTCATCTTCTCTCTTCTTTCTTCTTAAATCTTCAACCAAAAATTCTCTCTGCAACTGCTTCAACCTCCTCAAACCTTCATCATCTTTGCATCAATCTTCAACGACATTCTTTATACCACTGCAACTTCTTCAATATTCTTGAATCTTCATTCCCCTTCCATCTATAACAACATCAACATCATCTTCATTCCCCTTGCATCTACAACAACATCAACATCATCTTCATCTTCCTGCATCTACAACAACATTAACATCATCTTCATCTCCTTGCGAATCTACAACAACATCAACATCATCTTCATCTCCCTGCAAATCTTCAACAACATCACAAATCTTCATCGTTATCAAGGACTTGAAGCAACTCCTCTCCTTAATCTTGTATCCTCAGTCGAAAGAGAGCAGCATTGGCCAAGAATTTCAGATCTGAAATTCAACTTTATCTCAAATTCAGTTTTCAAATTCTATCATTTCTCTGACTTTATTCTTCATTTTTTCTTGTTGATTCATTTTCAGTAAAGTGTGTAGATCATAGTGGAAGCATTGTTTTGCATCTGGAGCAGAGGATTCGAATTTCCAGATTTTGTATCAAGGTGAGTTGCTTGGACTTTGATTTGGTGTGAGTTGCTTGGACTTCGATTTGGTGTGAGTTGCCTGGACTTCGATTTAGTGTGAGTTGCTTGGACTTCGATTTGCTGTGAGTTTTATTGGACTTCGATTTGTGTGATTTAGCTTGAATCAGTGTTGTAACTCTGGTACATTGTGTTTTAGCTGGCCAGACTATAGGTATGATGTATATATTTATTTTCGTTTGATGCTTGAATCATGTTGTGGAGTTTCTGAAATTATGTGTGTTGATGATTTTATTGAGTTTTCATGATCTTTGTTCTTGATCTGTGGCTAATGATTCGATGCAATTTGAGTTACACGATGTAGAGTGATCAACTAGCTTTCAATTGCACTTGATTTTACTAAATATGATGGATATTTGAGTTTGTTTGAATGATCTAGACATGAGCCTTTGCACTAAATTTTCGCACAAGTTTCATTTGTACTGGAGGTTAGAGTCTGTAAAGCTTCGAAGGTTGAGTTGAAGCTTTGAAATTCTAAGTCAGTAAAGCTTCGTTCAAAGAATAAATTGAAGCCAATCGAATGAGGTTTCTACTGCAAGTTGAGGCCAATCGAAGAAGGTTGCTGCTGTAAGTTCTAGGCAATCGAAGAAGGAAGAAGTGAGGCAAATCGAAAAAGGTTGCTACTACAAGGTTGAGGACAATTGAAGAAGGCTGCATGTTACTACAGGTTGAAACCAATCCCATATGGTTGCTACTGCAGGTTGAAGCCAATCGAAGGATGCTACTGCTGTAGGTTAAAGCCAATCGAAGGATGCTACTGTTGCAGGTTGAAGCCAAACGAAGAAGGGTACTACTGCTGTAGGTTAAGGCCAATCGAAGAAGGCTGCATGTTATTGCAGGTTGAAGCCAATCCCAGATGGTTTCTACTGTAGGTTAAAGCCAATTGAAGGATGCTACTGCTACAGGTTGAAGCCAATCGAAGAAGGCAGAATTGAAGCCAATCGAAGGATGCTACTGTTGTAGGTTAAAGCCAATCGAAGGATGTTACTACTGCAGGTTGAAGCCAATCTAAGGATGATACTGCTGTTGGTTGAAGCTAATCGAAGAAGGCAGAATTGAAGCCAATTGAAGAAGGCAGAGCTTTGTCATTTGTTTTCTCATGGAAATTTCTTTTTTTATAGTTTGATGATAAAAATGATAGAATATTTTAGAGTTTTTTTTAGGACTTTAGAATTTAATTGAAGTTTCCAAATTATTCTTACCATGCTAATACTCATTTTGTTATTATTTAATTTCCATTAGTTCGTGGTAAAAGTTTGGTTTGTGATATTGAGCGCTTGAGGATTAGTCCAGTTGATTATTGGTGAAGCTTTTGCGAAGATCGTCAGGTTTCTTTGTTTAAAACACTCTGCTACAAATTAATATTTGTTTGGTATTTTCTCTTGTTTATCTCATTTCGTACTTTATTGCTTTCTAGAAATCATGTGAAGTAGGAAGCAAGAAATAAAGAGTGTGCACTTGAAGTCTTTGTTTAAAGTCCTGTAGCAGGCACCACTTTCTGTATGCTATATGTGTTTGTTTAAAATCCTACCTTTGAAGTAGGTATTCTGCACATGTGTCTATATTTGTGCCGACATTGTATTATAGGTGATAAGTCCTCAAAATAAGGCGAGCGGAAAGGGTTTGTAA